TTTCTTTGTTCTGAGCTGCAAATGACTTTCCTTTTTTAACGACTTATTGTTAAAGTCAGAAATAGGCAAAAGAGATGCCTGTTAAGAGTCCCAAATGTTTCACAAACTGTTTCCCTGTTACAGCATTTGAATTTCAAAATTGTCTTTCCATTTTGATGAATTCTCCTCTGTTTGCTTGCTATCTCATCAAAACTTTAATTTACAACACAATGAGGCTGAAATTCCCATCTGATACTTGTGGAATTCCCATCCCCAGAAAGCACCCAAGCTGTCAGAGTGGACCTAACTGCATTTTGTATTCACTTCCTATTATCACTACTGTAAACTGCTGGTAACAGAATCTGCTGCCTTCCAACATGCTCTGGCATAGCTGTCAGTGACAAAAGCCAAGGACAATTCAATGCTCTTAATTGTTTTTCAAATCCTGACAGTGCTGGTCCTGTATTTCTACGAAAGCATTAGTACATTTTGCTAAAACTAACATAGCTGTGCTTCATTTTTTCTTCTTCTTAATGGATTGGGTGGAAACCAGGAGAGGAGGACTATTGTGTCATCTGGAGGGCTAGATACTTTATGCCATGCTGTAACTTTTCTTTTAAAAAGACTTGCACTCTTTCCTGTTTGTTTTGTAGGGACCTAATTTTCCTATTTATAGGGAAAAATGTCTCCTCAAGACAAAATAATGCCTTCTTCCAGAACACGTTCAGATTCTTATTTTCCTTGCTTCTCCTGGTTCAAGTCACAATATGGTCATTTGGCCCTTCTTACTCCTCCAGGAAATGTTCTTTCTACTTCCTCAGCAGTCCTTTGATGGGCCCATGTGGGATTTAGATTACAGAACCCCCAAACACGACTAAAAATTAAATCACCAAAATAACAACAATTTGAGATCAAATAAATCCTTCCTTCCCAGCCTTTACGGTGCTTTAGGAGGCTGTACACCTAACATCCTGTAATTTCTTTGGGCAATGTAAAAGGAGGATATGCAGCTCTGGAGACTAGGAATCCCTTTAATGATCTACTTTGGTTCAGATTCATGGACTGTTTGAACCTCAGCACAGGCTTGCCTTCCCGTTTGCTGCACTCACACCATCATGTCAAATGTGGGACCATTTGTTGTGGTGGTACAGCAACAGTGATGGGCATGAGAAGAAAATGTTTTCTGAAAAAAATTCTGATTCAGTTTAAAAAAAGTAGGGACAGACCATGATCAGGGTGAGTCTATATTTTTTGTTTCTTAGGCATTAGAAAAAGGATTTTTCTGAATCTGAAAACTCCCCTGAAGTCATTCTGAAAGTAAAAAGAACTCACAAAGCTGGTGTTGATTAGACCTGTGCTGTATCAGCAGAACAGCTTATTAAATTAAAGATCATGGCAAAATAGGGCATTGGTCTCAGATAGAAAAGTTGAAAGCCTACTAAGCAGGAGAAATATACTATAAACACTACGTTTAATGTATATGCCTGAGTTAGGATAGCTGTCATTGTATTGACAGCACAGCTCTGCTGTCTTATGCAAAGTTATCTCAGTGTAGTAGTATGCTGGAATTTATGGCTGGATTGGCTGTGTTTGCAAAGTTGCCTGGAAATCAAGGGAACTGGAATTCATTTCCCAGCACTGAACTGTTTCCCTAAACTGCTAATAATGTATCTGTGGATGGATATGGGTTAATATTAACTTGTCTCATCAGGAGACACACGTGATAACTGCTTTGGAAGGTTCAAATTAATTCTAAATGATGAAAGGAATATTAGTATTATCAAAACTGCATGGTGGTGGAAGTCTTAGGAAAAAAACAAAGGACAACTGCATAAAAATGTCCTTTTCTGAATGCACAGCCATTACCTTCTGAAACAGAGAGCTCAGCCAGTTTGTGTGGCAACTCTGAAGTCCCAGCACCAGCAGGAGAGCCCAGGATATCTGGTAAGGCGTTTCGGCGGCCTGCCCGTCCTGATGCTGCAAAATCTGTGACCACAGGCTCCACATCAGTCATTGCTGACTCCTTTCCTCATAGCAACATCTGCACATGGAACAAACAGAAGAAGAAAACAGCTGTAGCCTGATGGAGGCTAATCACCTGCTCAATAGTACAATAGCTTTTCTCAGTGGTTGTTTTCTTATTAAAAGCCATACATTTCAATACTGAGTGTTTAAGCTTTATTTCTTCCCCTGAAGAAAAGACTGTCTGTGTACATCCTTACCGTCCTTACCGTGCCTTTTGCACAACAGACGTGCACAACGAACAGCTTTGCACCACCAAGAAACCTGTAAATAGGGTTGGCAACAGTCCTTTCTGCCAGCCATCTGTACATCCTTTTACGACCTATTCCCTCTTTTTAAAGCGGTTTTGCTTTACAATCACTTGGAAGAGAACTAAAACTCTCTTGTCATACAGTCTGTGTGAAGTAAAGCATGTTTTCCTTATTATGAATCTTGTTCAGATTCTTATTTAGAATCTTGTTAGAAAAAATTCATTTCACCAAGGAGCAACCTATATAAAATGACCTCTCAAAACACTGAAACTCTTCATAGAATTTCTTTATCCTTCACCTAACAAACCACTTGTTTTCCTCTGCTGCTTATTAGCCTGGTTTAACCTTCAGTTGAGCGTGTGACTTTTATACGATAAATAACTGAATCCCGGAAATAATGGAACCAACCATATTCTGCTCCTGTGATCCCTGTCTCAAAGCCCATTGTACTGAATAGGAAACTTTGGACCAGAATGGGCTTTCAATCAGGCACAGAAATGAGGCATGGTCACACTCGGAGTCAAAGGATGAAGTGTGAACACCTAGAGCAGAAGGATACTTGGCTGCAAGTGGCACAGAGTGTGTGAAAACTGCCCTTAGCAGTCACAAAAGGCTATAATACAATCATTTACACAATAATGTGATAATTAACAGAGCAATTAATAATAATTAGATATCCATTACTCAGTGAAAAACAGAAGTTACTTGCTCTATATGAATGAAGTTCTGTTTGCAATATGGGAGCAGGAGTGTTGTCTCTTTGTGTGAATAAGGTCAGTGCTTTGTGTGGGAAGGGATACAGATGGTACCGGAGATCAATCTGATGGAAGGTTGTCATCTTTTGGTTGACAACTGGCTGTATTTAGACTAAGAACTGGATATGGAAAGTGTCAGTCATGTTAGTGTTGTTCATATAAGAAGCAGAGCATCAGAGTCCCCCTTTTAAAATTCTGCTAAGCTTGGGAAATATTACTGCTTTCATTTCATGGATATAAAAAATTATACAAGTAAATATCAAATATGATTTGCTCTGATATGCAGGAAAGAAGAGGCAGAACTTTGATTACTGATGCTGACCTGCCATTTCTACTACAAACATTTTCTTTTCTCCATCAAAGTGCCTTTCAGCTGTGTCAATCCAAAACCAAGAAGTAATCTTTGTATCTTTAAGTACCTTGTAATAGAAGAAATGAATTCTTCTTGGCAAGAAACAAAGGCTCAAGTAGGACCGCCAAGTCTGAAAGGTGACCTGAACATGCAAATAAACTGCTTCCTTTAACCAAGGGCAGTAAGTGAAAGGTCTCACCTGGAGATTTAGCGGAAGGTTCCTGTTCTGCAGGGAAACAGGTCAAATCCAAATGAAATTTTTCCATCAGTGGCAAAGTGTAGAAACTATACATGGGCATTCAAGGATGACATTCTTCAGAAAACACATAAAAATCATGGAATCATCAAGGTTGGAAGAGACCTTTAAGATGATGCAGTCCAATGGTCAAACATGCATCGACATTCTCAGATTTAGTATTATACTATCAGAGGGTGAGATCAGCACTTGGCACAAAATATGAAAAGAAGGAGAATGAATCCATGTTTATATACACAGTCTCATGGCTTTGTGGGGGTGTTCGTATTTATTAAACTCTAGGTGTCCTAATTGTTTTTCCTCATATGCTCACCACAGCAAGTAAAGAGACTGTAAATTACCCTTCAGAACAGAAAACGCTTGGGGTCTTCTTTTGCTTAGTAAAATTGTTAAAATTACTCTCAATGCCAAAATACCAGCATGCTTGCATTTCCTGTCCATTTCAATTCAACCCTTAATATGGTGGAGCTGAAAGTACTGTTGTGAGTAGACTGCTGTTCGCATAAGCTGTAAAGAATGACATTAACAGGAAAACACACATTCTCAAGCCTGCCTTGGAAGAAGGACTTTTCCCCCCACTCTTTTCTCTTTTGCATGGATGTTTTGTCCCCTAAATGGTCACTTTTAAATGGAGAAAATCTGGTCTACAACTCATGCCATATGAAGATACTCTCCTCTGCAGTACAGTTTGCACTTTTGTACTTGTTACAAAGCCCTCCCTTTCCTCTCCAGCACATCTCCTTCTCCTCTGATGTAATCTTCCTTCATTGCATAATACTAGACAACCCAGCAAGATAATGAAGGACAGTCTGACGTGCCTTCATGTAAGTGAATTTTGATTTATGCACTTGATTAAAAAAGTATGCAAAACTAGAGAAATCTAGAACATCTGTCAGACAGAAAATCAGCTGATCATTATCCATCTGTCGGGTGCCTATAATTCAAATTTAGCTATCTAAAAATACACCATCCTTTATATACATAACATTTACCATTAAGGGCTTTCACCTTTGTTTTTTCTATCTACACTGCACTAGCACAGCATATTCCCTAAGCATATTTGAAAGATGAGGGACTACCCTGAGAGTCTTAGAACTGACATTACAAAATGTAAATCCATTTATAGGTCCATATAACCCAAAAGTTAAGCTCAACTCCCAACATATGACAGACATTATTCAAAGTAGCTTGTTGCTGTACTTGAGAGAGATGCCATTTAGTTCGTTAATGTCGTAATGGATTTCTTCAATTTCATTCTGAGGCTCTTGTTTATCAGTATTTTCTAAGGCCTACATGCAAGTAAGGATACAGAGTTTCTCTGCTCTTCATCTGTTTTTACCTTTACATTTTTTAACACATCCATTGGAAAATATCTACCTTTCAGGCATCTCCTTGAATATGTTAAGCACAGTATTATTCATGCCTCTTCACAGAGTAAACAGTAATTACAATGTGCACAGCATCTATTTTTCTCAAATCTACTCCTCCTTCTCCTGCTGCCAACATCTCCTTCTGCTTCACTGAACCCATTTTACTCTAGCTTTATCCAAGATAAAGATACTCACATGTTGCCAACACCTGTGTGCAGTTGCTTCTCTAAGTTTCCAAATTACTGTTGTCATTTTTCTCTTGTGGCACTGCTCACCAGACTAACAGAGCATAGTTCCGAAAGTACAGTGCGAGATTTCCAAATCACAACTTCCCCAGCTCCCTTTTTGCCATAGCAAAAGCCCAGTCTACCCAAAAGTATGAGGCGACTGGGTGGAAGAGAAGAGTTGGGGAGGGATGGGGGCTGTCTGCAGAGGGTCAATAGTAGGAAGGCTTGTGCAAGTCCCAGAAGGGCTCAACTACCAATTAAGAGACTGAAGGCAATGACTGGCATCCCAGCTAGCACTACATCACTAGGACTAACTTTGCAGCTCATTACTGGGCCAAGACAGTGTTCAGGAGGTTTTGGGAGTATTGGATTAATCCTCTCATATATGCCTCTGAAATGCCTGCAGGATCACCCAGAATGCACAACAGACCACTCAGGTATGCATGGGGGAAAGAAATGCTCTGCTTGTGAAAATTGACCACAGCCAAAAGCAAAACTCAAAGATCTATCAGCTATTCAGATTGTCCTTAGACAAAGCAATGTCAGGTAAACTACCAGTGGCATTTTCACTAAAAGACAGCTAGTTTGTTAATCTTGGAGTTTTCTTTTGCTGGCAGCATAGCCATCCATTTGGGAGAAAATGAGTCACAGAATCTGGAGAGAATTTATTTAAATAAATGACAGGAAAAGAACAAATCATTCTCCTGAAACAATTTCTGTTGAGAATCAAGGGAAATAACGCTTCAAGTTGCTCAGTTGTAGCAGGTGGCAAAGTCCAGATTTAATGTCAATATTGTCTCTTCTTCTGTCTTATCTGTTAGATAAATTTAAGTATTTGTGAAAGATGCTTTTGCTTCTGATCTTACTACTGTCTAATACAGACAGACCACTGATTTGTTCTGCTTGGAAGGACAAACTATTCCACAGTAAATATCAGGTTCCCAGCATTGGCACTGTGGGACTCCATGGCACTCCACTCCATGCAGGAGTCTGAAAGCCCAACCACATCACTGCTTGCTATTCAGGCACTTTTGTCAAAAACTTATGAATAGTCTCTGCCTGTGCTATCAGAGAAAGCTACGCTTCCCAAACACTGTTTATTCTGAATGCCCTTTAGTAGAAACAAACTGGAAAGCATGAAATCCTCTCACAAAACAGATGAAAAATTCAATATCCAAATAGTACTTTCAGAGCCACACTGACTGATTCTGTGTCTTGAGAGTCTCTTACTGTAAGACGCATTTCAGCATCTTAATATATTCAGAAAAACATTAGTCCCTCAAGTGGTGTTTGGTTTGTCTTTATTTACTTGTAATGAGTGTTCTCCATTCACCTTTACCCCAAAACTCTGTAGGCACAAAACTTTTTAAGTAAGGAGAACAGAAAACTTATTGAATGAAGTGCTTCCCATTGTGCAACTGAGATGAAACCCACATCTTCTTGCTAAGCAGTTGCCACGCTTTCACATCCACTTCTGCTGCAGCTGCATTCTCATGTCTTTGTCTCCTCTTACCAAAGGTCTCAGAATAGGAACATTCTCATCATACATACACACGTAATCCTTATGCTTCATCCTGAGGCATTTCTGGACCACAGAAAAGGGGAAAAAAAACCACCTAGGAACATCCATGCTTTTAAGGAAGATAGCCTAGAGATTATGACGATGACTAACAGTAACCTGGGCACACACATAAATTTTGTGAGAAAAATTTGTCTTCTGTTTTTTTTCATATCAGGATCATTTGTTACATACTGGCAACCCTACTGCTGGGAAGCACACAGAAAGATAAGCAAGTGTTTTTTACCAA